TGGAGTACAGTGCAACTGCAGCAGAGAGTTTCGAGTCATTTACTCTAATTTAACAAATGAAGCTGTTTAATTTTTTTTCCTCCTGAAAACCTTCCACCTGCATACCTGACCCAGTTCCTATGAGTTTACTCAAAGAACTGCTATCAGAAATAATTAAGCCTCCTCTAACAATAATAATCTCTCGGGCTTGACCATATGCCCAAAATTCTTAAACTAGCAGTAATGGACCCTTTTCACAAAGAGTCATGATTACTTCCAATTTAATCATTAGCAGGGTAAAACTCACTTCTGCTCCATATAACTACTGCCGAAGCGATGTCAAAATGTTATAGTAGTGTACCATAATGCTCATACACTGAGCTACCACAGCTATGTTTTAGTTTTCCTGCACTGTCGTGACAAACAGTGAGAATAAGAAGTTGATGGAAGCACTGATTTAACTTTAAACAGAGCTAAAATCTTTTAAAAGCTATTGCAGGCAATAAACCATCAACGAAATAATTCTTACATGATGAGCTTGGTACAAACAACTAATGTTAGCTGGCACATTATGTCAGAGACCTTACATGGCTCTTCCCAGACCACAAACAACTGGGAAGCCATGTCAGAAAATGGAAAACAGAATGTCACAGCATAGCCATGATGCTAAGATACAAGTTAGCTAGGAGTCGTGTTTTTGATGGAGCAGGGAAAGGTGGATGTTGTCCGAAGTACTGCTTCATAAATTGCGTTGAAACTAAAAGAGCGATGCTGTTTGGCAGATTGCTAACATAGCTAGCCAGCTAGCATTGAAGTTTGCTACTTGCTGGTGTTCCTTAAACTGTTAATGATAGGCTAGCTAATAAGCACCTGCCTGCTAGCCTACCATAAGCTAAAAGAGAGTTTAAACAAGGTCTGCTGTACAGCATGCTGTAAATGTCTCACAGAACCTAGCCAGCTGGTGCCAGCAGCTAATGAAAGCTACAGGTAGCAGTGGCTTCTAGCATAGATAGCTACATCTAAGCAACGTCTACCAGATTCATACTACATATAAAAGTTCTCCTTTCTTTTGAAAACAGAAATATTACAGAAATCGCTGGCATGTTGTACAAAGAAAGAGAAATGGCTGAGGCAGCTGCAGCAGCAGTAAACAGGGCTACACCACACAGTTAAATCCGTGCTTTCATCCCCTTCCTATACTTACTATTTGTCATGACACTGCACGAAAATGAACATATGTCTGTTGTAGCCCAGTGTTCGAGCATTATGGTACACTACCATAACATTTTGTCATCGCTTCTGCAGTAGTTATATGGAGCAGAAGTTAATTTTACCCTGCTTAAACCGGAAGTAATCATGACTTTTTGTGAAAAGGGCCCATTAAGCTTCTGAAAACTGATCTTAATCCCTGTGTGCTGTCAATTTAAAGTTCTGTCTCAAATCTTCATACTTGTAGTTCATGCTTGCATAAGAATCATATACACAAATATTTAGTCAGGATATAGGCCTCATAGTGCTCAGTGTCCACTGTGGTTATCGAGTACCACAGCTCTGTGTGGAAAAGTTGTTAGCATATCTAGTTTTGCTGGCTTTGATGGCCCTGAGTCTTCTACCAGGTAGAAGTGAATGGAAGTAGTGGGTGAGAGGAGTCTGTAATATGTCCTGAAGCACTGGCACTTATTTTCAGTGGTCATCAGAGTGCATCACTGAAAATGGAGTTGGACACTAATTTCTCAAAGATTACAAAGACCAGTTTTGCATTTGAAATCGCAGTCTATGTGCATCATGCTGAAAGCGTTGACTGTTGAAAAGATTGCTGCAGTGTGCAAAATCACAGAGAATGTAAAATGTTAAATGTTTTTTGGCCCTGTATATCTCCTAGATAAGAGAGGAGATCACCCTTGTTTGGGCATGAGAGGCTAAGAGAGGTGATACTGGACATCATGCAGGCCACATATTTTCAAGGTACAAAAAAATCAAAGAGCAACTGACATCCTACTATGCTCTGTGGCACATATAAAAATACTGAGCAGGCCCCGTTGACCTTGATTTTGGATTATAATGACAAGAAGCAGTGACTCATTGTTGATGTATATGTGGTAGGATCTTCAGTCACAAAGACTGCTCGACTGGCTGGTGTTGGATAGGAACAGTGGCTAAAGTAACCTCTTAGACCTCAGTAAATAAGGCTGGAAATTGTGGTTAAACGTCCATATTTAATTTGCAATATTCAAAGTGCATATAATTTTTTTTCTTATTGGGATTACAGTAATCATTTTAAATTTATTTTTGAAATTTAGACATTTTAATAGACTTGCCCAATCTAATTGCTACTAGCACTGGCATTGAAAAATGAGGCTATTCTCTTTTTGTCCTCTAGAGAGTACCGTTTTTTGTGGTTGCTTTCGTGTCTGTTCTTGTTTGTCCTCTCTCATGGCTGATTGCCGATGCTGATTCAACATGCTCAATTGGCATAATTATATCACATAATCACAATTATATCAGGTTATATAGTCCTAGTGTATAATTGGTATATTTACAAATGACACCCACTGTCAAATAGAGTCAGATATATTTGCTGAATCCTTCTTGTGCTCTTGCAGTACTGGTTTAATATACTAAATTTGCCTTCCGCCCACTGAGCGCTGAGATAGGCTCCAGCATCCACACACGACCCAGGAGGATAAGCGGCTTAGATTGTGTGCGCGTGTGCATGTGCATAATAAATTATGTACTTTACTAAGTATTTACTAAGGAGTACTTAGTAGTACTTACATACATACTTAATACATGTTGTAAAAACTCTAAATATGTTAGCTAGCTAACATGACCTTAAACTCGGCTTGCTTAAACTGAGCATAAAGGTTTACAATGTTAACAATACTGGTTTGCTCATGCTAAAAACTCTTTATGAATAATGTCAATGTCAGTCACTTGAATTTGGATCTTCCCTCTCTATCTAGGCTACTAGCATTGCTATCGAGTGAGGTGTTCAAACTTAGCTGGTTAGCTTTAGTTACAGTAAGACTCACTAGCGTGTAGCTAAAAAAGGTACCCATAAATGTGTGAAGAAGAAAATCTACTTTTTACTCAGCTCCACTTCAAATTAAAATCTTAATTCTGGTTTTCATTCTGTTGGTGTAGCTCCTGGGCTGCTTTGCTGTAGCTAACACCTCTCACATTGGAGCTTTTTATCCAAAAGGATCTTAAAAAATAGCACCTAACACACTGATAAATGCTAAATTGCAGTTCTGCATTTAATATTAAATTATACTTTTAAGTTCGTAAGCCTTTTGGAAGTTTTTAATTATACTGATACCTTTTTACTCCTTCTATTGAAATTATGTTTTGGTAGCCTAGGCTAGGCTTCTGGTTGAGTCTTTATTTAAATTAAGTTACTTTTTATGTTATAGTAATACTTTTTGTTTGAGTATGGGTTAAAGTTGCTCTACACACCTCTGACAAAATCCTATACATAGTTGTTTATAAAATGTGTAAATATATATTTTGTGCAATGTTTTAAGAAATAAGAACGTTATTAACTTTATCATCAAGATATGAACACCTATCTATCCGTGCATCACTTTGGCCTAAGTAGTTGGTGCTTGGCGCCTTTTGTCATGTTTCGGAGTGACTTTGTACGAAAGCTGAAACATCATCAGTAATATGACTTCATTCTGTGCTTATTTGCCAAATAATTATTTATATGTGTTTCCATTGTAATTTGTAACATTTCTTTTTTGAAAAAAGCAGGTAAAGCAATGGCTCGGCAAAGAAACATACTCTCAGTTAGTTCGGTTTGGAGTGACTGAGAACAGTATACAGTGCTAACAGAGTGCAGCAATGACTCAGTGACAGTCCTAGTTATTACACCATAACTGAAAGGGAGAGCCAGAAGGTAACAGGGACATGAGGGCACCTTGAGATGTTAGTGCCCATCTGCTCCACTGGTAATAAACTTCAGTGAACGCATGAGAGCAGCAGGATGACAGCACCAACATTCCCAATTCACCATAATACTCTGTCCATGAATCCCCAGGTCTGCACCTCTTATCTAAAGGGAAAAACTTACCAAAGCTTTGCCTAAACAAGTGGATTTTTAGTCCCAAACACTGACTGAAAGATTATTCCAAAGCTGGGGGGCTTTGTATGAAAAGACTCTACCCCTGATATAAATTTATCAATTCTAGGTACTAATAGTAGGCCAGCACCTGATGATCCTAAGTAGGCGTGATGGTTCATAATATGAGAAGTTCACTTAGACGTGGCCGTTTAGAACTTTATATGGCGGTAAGGGGTGAGGCCATTTAGAGCTTTATATGGCGGTAAAAAAAAACTTGTGTACTAAATGCAGAATTTAACAGGCAACCAGTGTACCAATAACTGATATGATCAAACTTTCTAGTTCTTAAGGACTCTGGTTGCAGCATTCTAGACTAGCTAAAGCTTGTTAAGGCTTTTGCAGGAACATCCATAAAGCAGGGCATTATAGTAGTCAAACCTCGAGGTAATGAAGGCATGAACTAGCTTTTATATTTTCTATATTTTTAAATATATTTTTATATATTTATATTTTAAATATATTTATAAGTTTAAGCAGTAGTAGCTTCTCCAGATTTGGATAAAAATTGGTGCATGCTCAGAATCTTTGCCACTCTACTTTCAGCAACTGAAGTTTCTTCCATCTTTTGCATTGATCAGTGATCACTCAACAATCCAAACACTATTTTTATTATTTCTCCCTAATGCATTTGTATGTTTTTTATCTCTAAATATATTCATGATTTTAAATTAATACTCCTTATTTATTTTTTCCTTTTTTTTTTTGCTGTTACCGAACAGTAACTAAAATAGAAGAAATCAAATTTAACTCTTACTTTTTTCTATTACTGTTAAAACTTAACACCTGTTTCTAAAGCCCTTTGAATTGCTACCGGTATGAAAAATGCTCTGTTTAATAAATTTATTTTTCTTCCTCTTCTTCTAATTCTTCATCTTACTGTATATCTCCAAATTTATAGGTTGTCACTGTTGGAGGAATGGCGTGGTATCAGAGACAATGCATTGTCCCAACTCAGTGGAATCCCTGGCTGTATTTTTGTCCATAGCAGTGGCTTTATTGGGGGAAACAAAACCAAGGAGGGAGTTATTGAGATGGCTAAAAGAACCTTACTAGCATCTTGAACATCTCCAGTGACTGCTGAAATTGTCTTATTTTTGCATTACTGCTTAAGCTCATTTTTGTATTGCAAGTTTAACTTGCTTGTTTCACAATAATAAAATGCCTGAACCAAAGCAGTCTGTTTGCCTATTAGTTTGTTATCCATTGAAGTGTTTTTGCTCAACCATTTTCTGACAGATTAGTAATGAGAGAGTGAAACTCTCCCATATGCTTTTTAAAATGTCATCCAATCCACATTTATGCTTCCTGCCTGCTCTCAGTAGTTTTACTTAAACAGTGCTGTTCCTGTTATGACTGTCAGCTGTTGTAGATATAATTGCAAGTTTCTTAAACTCAGTCAGCAGAAACTCAAGCCACTTATAAATAACCTTAAAATCTGAACCTAAAACAGGTAAATAATATTAATGTTAACATGAAAGTTGTTGAACACTCAAACAAGAACAAATTAAATGTACATTGTTCTACTTAACAAATGCACTGTAACTGTTTTATGTGTTACATTATTTGCATTCATGGACATAATTTGTGCTGTTATTTTTTGTCAGTGGGATAAATCCCCCTTTATAAATGTAGACCTGAATTTGTTTTGGAATTAAAAGAAGAATCATAGTGTAAACCTGATGTGCATTAAATGTAATGTCAACAAACCTATTATTTCTGCCAAATTTAAAAGTAAAATGTAATGACATTTTTTGACATTTGCAAATGTCACTTTGGCATTGCCCTTTATTGATTAAATGCATTTCAGTCAATAAAGGGCAATGCCCTTGGAAAATTGTAGCATGGTAATCGATTTTGGGGTCATTACCAAATAAGGTTTTCAAAATGACAGTTTTTAAAAATCTTATGAAAAAGGACAAAGGGCATTTTACGTACGTACATGTATATGTATCTGCATACATATTTGCAATTATTAAATTTGCAGTCATTAAAATTGTACTGGTTGCTCCATTTGACATTTCAGACTGATCTCAAACAGGCATCTGCTTAGATACTCGCAGAATCCTTTGTCCTTGAACTTGAGTTTATCCTTTTTTTCAAATAAATAAACAATAATAATTACACATTTCCTTGGTTTTCCTGAGGTCATATCACCTGACACGGTAAAATTAAATCATTCTATCCATGACACATCATTCGATCAATTAATTCTTTTCCAAGATTTGTGAAAGGGCTACTGACATTGGCTTTGCACCATGAAGGTCACTTGGAGTCTTCTGTGTGATGCAGTACCCTGGCCCGTCTTTTATAAAAGCATGTCAAAATAAAAGTCCTTTATTTTTGGTTATGCCACCTGACACATGAAGTAAGAACTTTGGTTCTTTTTTTTCAGTGAGTTGATTACTTTTAAAGTAACTTAAAATGACGCCAAGCTATTTAGAATTTGATATAATTAAATTACCTTTTCTGGTAATTTACCTAATCAACATATAAGGTTGAACAATTGCACCATCTCACATTTTTAGACTTTTTGACGCAAAAAAAGAAATTAAAATGAATTTAAATGGATGCACTGAAAACTGTTTCTATCCCAGGTGGTAACATGTTACTGTGTTGCAAGTAGCAGATAAGTCCCAAGTCCTAAACTTTGAGTCCTCAACAAATCAAAATGCATTACTTCACCAAATGTAATGTTACGCTGATATCAAAGTTTTATGTGTGAAAATGAATGAGCTATGCCTTTTGACTTTAGCCCATAGAACTTACAGTTATTGCTGGTGGCAACATAATTATGGTGCAATTCAATATTAATTATTTTTTACTCATATCAAGAACAAAATACTTGCAATGAGTTATGGTTTAAGAGGCATAGAGGTACTGATATTACTATCTGAATTACTGCTGCATACCTGCAATGTTTGCTTATCTTCTTTAAAGAACAGACAGAATACATGAATGTGGCAAATGCAAACAGACAGATGGTCAGATCAGCATGACTTTCCTGTTATTGCCATACCCAGCGCAAGTGAACAGCATTCTGCCTCAGTAAGGTGCCCTACCAGTACTTTGTTTTGTATGTGGTCATGGAAATAACATATCTGGAAGTGATTTTATATTCTACCACATGAAAGCACTTTTTCCATTCTTTTATAAATCAAAATGTCTGTGTCATTATTTGTTTAGCAAAAAATAAACCATATAACCATATAGAAAATCAAAAGAAAAATATCTACCAAAATATGACTGCTTTATGACCCCAAGAGAAACAAAAAAGTGGCAAAAGGCCCCTCAAATAAAATGTATATCAGTGTTTTGATGAATGATCAGTTATGGGGAGAATTTAATCCTGTACAAATATTAGCTGCATGGATTAACAATGAAGCTTAAATTTTCTTCACATTCCAACCAAAATCCCCTGAGTTTGGCTAACAAACTATCTGCTCGTGTACATGGACATGGATGGGAGGTGAGGTGTAAAAAACGTCATTCATGTACAAAATGTGAGCTTGCAACTACAGCTCCAATATTGTATCTTTAGTATACTTGGTTAATATCTAAACATTTCTAACAGCAGTAATTTCTTCATTTCACAGCACTCAATTAGCTCCTCTTGCAGATGGCAAAGTGACCTACTTACACCTCCATCCAAAATGTATCGCAGTGGGCATCATTAATTCCTTGCAACACACTGCAGTTTCAGGTCAGAGAAGACATAAGCTGCTAGCAGGATACTGGAAACATCACAGCATGTTGCAGCACCTGCTGAGAATTCTGATGGACAGAATGTGTTATTCTAGGTGAAGCAAAACCCACTTTTAATGCCAACAGGTTACTTACTGTGTGTCAAACTCTGTTAAACGTTATCGCTACAGTGCAGTTTATAGAAATCAGTATGGCTGTACGTAATGACAAAGAAAAATAAATAGTCAAGTCAAAGTTTATTTATATAGTGCTTTTTACAACAGGTGTTGTCACAAAGCAGCTTTATAGAAAAAATCCAGGTCCAAGCCCCCATGAGCAAGCCAATGGCAACAGTGGCAGGGAAAAACTCCCTACGAGCAAGAGGAAGAAACCTTGAGAGGAACCAAGACTCAAAAGGGGAGCCCATCCTCCTCTGGTTGACACCGGATAGGAAAAAGCATTGGTATAAAATATTAGAATACAAAACGGGGAAAAAGAGGTGGAGCAATGGTTAATTAAATAGTTTGAGTTCATGCAGCAGCAGCATCAACAGGAGGGTCAGTTCATGCAGGTGAGGTTTGCGCAGGCTTGTACAGCATGAAGCTCTATGGTGGTCAGAACAGTCCAGAAGGCTGAAACGGTCCAGAAGGCTGGCAAGCAATGGGCACCCAACCAAGGCAGAAGAAGCAACAGCATCAGACCGCGCAGGATGGGGAGTTGTTCAACTCAGCAAAGAAAAAGAAAACACAGAGTTAGTTCTGTAAAGAGTGACTGATCACAGCTTACAGTATTAACAGAGTGCAGCACAGACTCCAGCAGGTCTAGCTATAACAGCCTAATTAAAAGGGAGAAACCAGAAAGGTAACAGAGACAATAGGGTTCCCTGACGCCATGCACGAGGACTACAGCACCAACATTCCCAGTTTACCATAATACTCTATGTCCATGAACCCCCAGATCTGCACCTTTTATCTAACAGGAAAAACTAATTCCCAAAGGCTTGACTAAACAAGTAAGTTTTTAGCCTGGACTTAAAGACTGAGGCTGTGTCTGAGTCCCAAACACTGACTGGAAGATTATTCCAAAGATGGGGGGCTTTGTATCAGAAAGCTCTAACCCTGATGTAACTTTATTAATTCTAGGTACTAATAGAAAGCCAGCATCTTGTGATCTAAGTAGGCATGATGGTTCATAATAATAGAGAAGTTCACTCAAGTACCTGAGGGGTGAGGCCATTTAGAGCTTTATATGTCAGTAAAAGACTTTTGTAATTAATGCAAAATTTAACTGGCAACCAGTGTAGGTTTGATAGAACTGGGCTGATATGGTCAAACTTTCTGGTTCTTGTGAGGACTCTGGCTGCAGCGTTCTGGACTAACTGAAGCTTGTTAAGGCTTTTGCTGGAACATCCAGACAGCAGGGCATTGCAGTAATCCAGCCTTGAGGTAATAAATGCATGAACTGGCTTTTTGCGTCCTGGAGAGACATTTATTAATTTAGTTGTAGGCTGATGGCATCTGGGGTTCTGTGACTGTTCTTAGTCAATTTAGAAATTGTGCTAAATAATAACAGGGTTATTCTTATTATTTTAAATGAGAGAGGAGAGATAGGTTATTTTGCTTTTTAATAGAGCCACGTTATCTATAGTAGAACAAAATGTATCCTCTAAGCACTTGGTCATAATATCTAATTCGGTAGGTTTAGATGGACAGCTGACAGAAGCTGATAATTGTGGGAGGTTTCTGATAAAGCTACCAGCTGTGGTGGAAGTTATAGTCCGCTTAACATGATAGCATGGTGATGAACGTACACTACAACTAAAGTGAATTTCATATGATATTAGGTAATGATCTGAGACTGTGTGCTCTGCTGTAGATTTTGGCCCCAAGTCAAACTGGGATGGTGCCAGAGCATATTACAGCATTGGACATAGTTTGGGCTAATTTACATGCCTCTTTAATGCTATGTTTAGTTACCTGACTGCAGCAGATAAATGTCATTAGTACCTACATGAATGACTATTCTTGAATATCTACGCCTAGCTAGCAGCTTCAGCTTCCCCCTAATATTCGGTGCCCTGGCTCCCGGTATACATCTAACTGCTACTGGCGCCCTGAAGGAGAAGCCATTTTCATGTGCCATAAAATAGAATCACCTATAACCAGAGCTCTTTCAACAGGCGTCTCAGAGGGTATCTCACTGAGTGGGGCAAACCTGTTGGACACATGAATGGGAGATGAGTGGTGCTTGCGTATGGTAGCTTTAGCATTAGCTTTAGTGTTGCGTCTATGCCACCGAAACACCACACATTTGCCCCCCTATGAGGGCTCTGCTGCCTGAGTCAAAGGTATGCTAGTCATCCTGTGGCACCCAGAGCTTCAAACAGCAAATCTGAGCCCTGCTGACTAGCCCTGCTCTTTTCTAACTTCCGGATGCACTCCTCTAACTGCATAATCTTGTCCGTCAAGCACAAAACTAACTTACACTTCTC